CCTCCGTGGCCTCTGCATCTGCTCCTGCCTCTGGGACCCTGAGTTCCTGTCCTGACTTCTTCAGTGATGGATAGCAATGCTGAAGTGTAACCCCGATAAGCTCCTTCCTCCCCAATTTGGTTTTTGGTCATCGTATTTCATTGCAGCAGTAGAAACACTAACTATGATACTATATTAAGCCTGTATACAACCTGAATCTAGAATAGATATCTTTGAAGCCTCCCCAAGATAAATGAAGGCCTTTCACCTGCTGTAGTATTCTAAAATGAACGATCCCTCCAATGGCCATTTTTATATTAGCTACTAATAAGTATTATTGAATCACTGGCTAATTCTGAACATTTTGGTGCATTATAATTGCATCTGTGGCTTACTGAGGATGAAGACTGACTGTCTGTTAGCCCCGTAACTGCTGTGGAAGCAGAGAAATGTGCCTGTCAGCCATTTCCTCCATACTGCAGAGCAGGGGAACCAAAGCCTAAACCAGCTAGGAAGGAAAGTTTGTTTTTCCCCAGTCACATCTTGCATCTTACTTTTTTTTTTTTTTTTTTGGGGGGGGGACAGGGTTTCTCTGTGGCTTTGGAGGCTGTCCTGGAACTAGCTCTTGTAGACCAGGCTGGTCTCGAACTTACAGAGATCCGCCTGCCTCTGCCTCCTAAGTGCTGGGATTAAAGGCGTGTGCCACCAATACCCGGCTGCATCTTACTTTTTTAAAGATGGAAGAAAATGGGACATGCTCCAAATGTTGGAAGGGACTCTCTTGTTCACATCTCTCCCTAATATTCAGTATGTAAAGCATTATCAATCACAGTTGTTCCCTAGTGTTAAATGGTTCATTGTAGTCAGTGAACCACAAAATAGTCTAGGTAAAGAGGTAGAATTCAGAGTCAGAGGCCAGATGCACTGGCCATATGACTGCTTCTAGAAGGACAAAATACAGCTCTTTGTATTCATTGGATTTGTTGGAAGGTTGTTCTATTTATTTGTCAGAGTTTCTCAACCTTGTTGAGGAAAGGACAAAGCAGTCAGACAGGTACATATGAAAGACTAAATCTTCATAGGTCCACAAATCCTGAGAACGTCATTCATAAACAGAAACTAGGTGTTGAGACTCCTTCATTTTCTTCACCCCTTCACCATTGCAGATGGATAGTTGCCTTTGATATGTTATTATTTTGAGTATCTCCTCTAAGCTGATCTGTGTCTGTGTCTCTGACTTTTTTCTCTCTCTCTGATGTGTGTTTGTGTGTGTTCTTTCATATTTCAGGATAAAATAGGTAAGAAAGCTGTGGTTTTAGTGAAACAGTTCAGTACCTTTCTTCACTATTTAATAGGCTCATGAACTAGATGACATGTTTTATCCCTCAATCTTTGGTGTTTTAAATATGTGTTTATTTGTAGTCCCCCCCCCCATTTATTTTTTGTGTGTGGCATTACTGGGGCAGGCACACTATGGTGCTCATGTAGAGGACAATTTGTAGAAATTGATTGTCTCTTTTCATCACTTGGATTCCAAGGATTGAACTCAGATCATCAGGCTTGGTAACAAGCACTCTTACCCACTGAGCCATCTCGCTGGCCCTTTTGTAGCTTTTCTGTGAAAGTTTAGACACAGACATCTCCCTTCTTTAATTCTGTTAGTATCTATGATCCAAGTCCTGGTTTTTATGTTCCTTCTGACTATTCCTTCTTGGCATCGTGCAGCTGTCATTCCTCTGTCCATCTTTAAATATTGTTGTTCCTAAGGCTTGGCCTTGAACCCTTTCTTCTTCTGTTCTTCCTCAGGACTCAAGCTCCACCCTCCTCACGTGTGCAGACTCTCTTGAAACTTCCTCCCTCCATTGTTTTTTTCTGTCCAACTCTAACACCCCCCCCCCTTACTCTTGTGCATCACTCTGGGCACTTTTCCACCTCTATCCCTCATATTTAGGGTTATTCATTCTCCCCCTCCTCCACTCCCCACCCCACCCTGTGTATGGTATATGTGTTCGTGGACATGTATGTATATGTGGACGGATGTATGCGTATACATGTGGACGTGTGTGTGTGTGTGTGTGTGTGTGTGTGTGTGTGTGTCTGTGTGTGTGTACGTACGTACATGTGGACATATGTGTTTGTGTACAGGTCAGAGGTCAACTCTGGGTGTCTTTCTCGGTCACTCTTCTGAGATACTGACTCTCACTGGAACCCACCAATTTAATTAGGTTAGACTAGCTAAGCAAGATGTTCTGAGGATCCTCTCTTTATAGTGGTGCTGGGGAGCTGAACTCATGTCCTTATGCTTGTGTGGTGAGTACTCTATGCACTAAGACATCTCCCTGGGCACTGTTGGATGAAAGCCAACTTCTACTTTTCATTGTACAGTTAAGAGCCATGTTCATTGATGATGCCTTCTGTAATTGCCGAAAATTTGAAAAAATTCAGCCCCATACACAATTTTTTTTCAGATAAGTTACTGTGATTTCACAACATTCATAGTCTCCTTCATATTTACACCTTATTATTATTATTATTATTATTATTATTATTATTATTATTATTTTGGTGTACATATGTATTATATTGCCCAGTAGACTGCAAAGTCCTCAGGAAAGGAGTTTATCTTCAACTTAATTGAATCCTAAGGAACATAGCATACCGTCTTGTACATAATAAATATTAAATAGGACAAGCTAATGAAGTTGTTGTTAATTGAAGCAAAGAGAAACAGTTATGTTATAGCTTCCTAAGATTCTTCATTCTCATTTCAGAAAAAATGGAGGGCTTGGAGTATTTGGGATTAGTGTCCTTGACCTCTAAAGGGGTTTATTTGTGCTTAGATATATAATGCTAGGTGAACTTTACATTAAACTGTCTACAAAAAGAAGCTGTTGTGAGCTGTATTAGAAATACCAGGCATTTGGTTACTTTGCCTTTGCACGCTGAAAAGAGAAAATGCTTTTGTTTGCTTTGAGCTTCTTGTAGATGGTTTTTTTCCTACCCGATAATCAGGATTGTATTATTTTCCTTAAAAAGACCGTTGGAACATGCTGTCCCTCCTTGGCATTGTACCTGGATATTAATTTACTGCTGGAGGACACATTGGGGGAGATTTCTGAAATTGCATAGGGAAGTGTTTCTTTAATCCTCAAATTTGTCAAATGCTTTATAGCAATGGAGATCATAGTCTCCCTGTTGGTAGAAGAGATGGAATGGTTCCTGGGGATATTTTTTCCTGAGAAATTGCTATATTAGAAAATGCTTCATTCAGTGTTTTTAAATTCTTTCTACATGCTCAAAGGTCTTCAGGAAATGAGTAGATGGCGTTGATTCAGGTCTTTTGTCAGACACTGAACAATGCTCCGACTCTCTGAGTCACAGTTAGTGGCCTTGAGCCCTCACAGGTGACTCTTAAAAAGCAGTTTGCTTTGGTATTGCAATCACATGTACATACTAAACAGAATGTTCAAATGAGGTCATGATTTTGGGAAATAGTCATCTTAGACTATCTTGGCCATGCCACATAAATTGACAATGTTCAGGGGCGAAGGAGAGGCACCACGAGGCCATGATACTCATGTTTCATTGGTTTCTTCTTCAGCTTAGGTCATGACATGTTTCTCTTCTCCTCTGCATTTTTCATACTGAAGAATTCCTTTTTTCTTTCTTTGTGAGACAGTCACAAGTTGCAGTTTGCCTTGTAAATGATAACATATTAATGTCCTGTGCCTTCGGAAGCATTTATCCATTGCTTGCTAACAGCCATTGCTTATGAAGTGTTGTCCAGAGCTAGTGCAGTGCTGAGAAGCACGGGAAGCATCCAAGTCCAGGAAGGGCGCAGACACAGTAATGATTGTTCATTTTATAATGAATGTGTGCTGCTCTTTCCTAATGTGATCTGGGATTGGGAAAAGGTAGGTTGTCCCTAGCTCGTTACTTTTCATTGCCTGGTACTGTTTGAGTTACCCCTAGTCTCAGAGTTAGGAGAACTGGAGGATTAATTTCCTGTGACTATATTAGGAAAGGTAGTTTTGAACTGTCCAAAATTAAAAAAAAAAGAGCAAAACCAAGAATAAGATTTAAAAGGAAACAAGCAAAAATACAAAACAAAACATCTGACTACAACCTAGTGTGTGACACCCCAGAAAGAATACTTAGCTGTAATTCTTAGTCTTTAGAAATTTAATTTTATTTCTTGACAAATAACAAGTATTGTCAAATTTCTTTTTTTTCAAAAGATTTATTAGTATTATTATATTTGAGACAGGGTTTCTCTGTGTAGCTTTGGAGCCTGTCCTGGCATTCACTCTGGAGACCAGGCTGTTGTTGAACTCATGGAGATCTGCCTGCCTCTGCCTCCCGAGTGCTGGGATTCAAGGCATGCACCACCACCGCCTGGCTGGTTTATTATTTTTAATTGAGTGTGTGTGTGTGTGTGTGTGTGTGTGTGTGTGTGTGTGTGTGGAGAGAGAGAGAGAGAGAGAGAATGAATGTGCATGTTTATGCAGTTCCCACAGAAGCCAGAAGAGGGCGTCAGCTTCTCTGAGTCTATGATCTACCCTGTGTTAGTGTTGAGAACAGAGCTCCTGGCCTCTGGAAGAGCAGTAGGTGGGCTTTTGACTGCTAAGCCATTCCTCTAGCTCCTTACTAAACCTCCCCCTCTTTTTCTATCTTTCTTTGATTTTTAGAGACAGGGTTTCTTTTTGTAGCCCAGGATGTCCTGGAATTCACTTTGTAGAGTACACTGGCCTCTACCTCACATAAATCCACCCACGTCTGCCTCCTGAATGCTGGGACTAAAGATGTGCGCCACCATGCCCAGCACCAAAGCTCTTATATAGAGACTTTTGAGGTAGAATTTTGCATTTTATCCCTCTCCAGAGAAACGTGGCTAGTATGCATCCAGATTCCAAGGCTCTTGAACAAGAGTTCATCCTTACAGTTGTGTACCAAGGACTGTACTGTGTTTTCACAAACATCCCTCATATCTAAGAGAATGTTTTTCTTGTCTTATATTCTAGCAAGTCTCCAGCTAATAAGTCACATTGAGCAGTTTTTGGATACCAACGAAACGCTGTATTTTATGAAGAGTATGGAGTGCATCAAAGCTTTCCGGGAGGAGGCCATCCAGGTAACTGCACTCACCCATGTTCTGCCCCAACAGCTGACAAAGGGCAGGCGTAAGCAGCACTGCACAAATAAGCCTGGGCTTTGGCAGCATCATTCTCACCGTGAACAGTGAAGCATGCCAAGAGGAGTGGAAATGACTTAATTCACTGAATCTGTCATTATCATCCCTCAGGAGGAATGGAGGCAGTTGGGGCAGGGGTGGGGTGGTGGGGGCTTTATCCCTCAGAGTTGGCTTTTTATGACACCAGTGTCCAAGCTACATGCTCATACTTAGAGAACCGAGGAAAGTCCCATTGTAACCTCTGATAGCCCTGTCATAAAGGATAAACTAAGTCTTTTAGGAAAACTGATTTTTGAGAAGGATTTTTATAAAGACAGGAGTAGGTATATGAATGCCAGAAGAAACAAAGAACCCTACAAACAATAATAATTTCCCAATGTTTTTAGTGGGTTTTCTTTGTTTCATTTCAGAAAATGCTGATGCCATATGGTGGTGGCACAGGTCTTTAATCCTAGCACTTGGGAGGCAGAGGCAGATGGATCTCCAAATTGGAGGTCAGCCTGGTCTATAGAGCAAGTTCCAGGACAGCCAGGGCTACACAGAGAAACCCTCTCTCAGGAAAAGAAGGAAGGAAGGAAGGAAGGAAGGAAGGAAGGAAGGAAGGACTTATGAACCTCTTCTGGGCCATTTCTGGGCATTTATTCCTCTGAGCAAGAAGTGAGCCAGTTTGAAATAGAAAGCGTATTTTTAAAGTAGGCATAGTCATAAAGTGTTTCTGTGTGGGTGCTCATTAAATATTTGCTGAATGAACAAATTAATACTTGAATAATTTAGGTTCATACAAAGAATGACAAGAAAAATGAGAATATGTCATCAGAAGTAGATGATCCACATACCCTACAGATGAAAAAACAAACAAGCAAACAAAATTTTGGAAAAGTCGAATCAAGAGAAGACTAATGATGGCTAGATGAGTTGAGACTGATTTTGGCTAAATAGGGAGAAGAAAAATGTGTTGCTTTTAAAATCCCCATCTCAGGCTTCGTGGAACTTCTAACTTCTGTACTTGTTGCCACCACAGCTCCCGAAGAATGTTGGCAAACAGTGTGGGCCTTAGAGAAAAGAGAGAGCTAGACCCTGGCTTTACCGCCTGGAGGACACCCAGTGTTGTCTGATCTTGCAAGCTAAGCAGGTTCAGGGCTGGTTAGGACTTAGGTGGACTGTGTGTCTCAGTAGCCTAGTGTGGACGAGGCCGGTGTTCCACCTGCATCACCACAACTGAGATGAGAACAAGATGGGAGAGGAGCAAGAGAGACTGGCGGCAGATCTGTCCATCTCAGTGCAGACCTGCTGTGAGCTGTAGAATTAGGGTTTTAAAGGAACATGAAATTCATATAAAGAAGCAAAATATCAAGTGGCTCTTTGCTCCTGCGGCTTCTTAAATTTTCTGATGTATAGTGGCATGTATTTTCCTCTTCTCCCCTTCTCGGTAGTCTCCCTCACTACTGACATGGTCTCAAGAGTCCATACTGGCTTAGAGCTCACAATACAGCTGAGGCCAGCCTTGAACTCCTTGTTTCCTTGCCTCCATTTCCCCAGTGCTAGGATTATAGGGGTGTTCCAAAGAGCCAGGATCCAAAATGAGTATGTTTCTTAATTTAAAATATATATAGTATATATTAGATGTGACATACAGAAATATTTAAAATTGAAATAATATGGTTGAAATTTATTTTAAAATTACTCCTAGAGCTATGTGAGATAGGGGTGTAAACAAAACAAGATTGGTGGAGTTGCTGCTGGAGTGGGTACTGTAGCTCAGTGGTAGAGCAATGGACCAGCGGGCATGAGGTTCTATGATCAACCTCTGCTAATCACAGAAAGAGATAAAAACTGGGTAAATTGACAGTTCTTGAAGTCAAGATGATCAGTGTATTGAGCTGCATGAGCATTCAATAAAGTGTTGTTTTGTTTGAAATTGTCTGCACTGAAAGATAAAAACAAAGCTCTAAGCAGCCAGAATCTCTGTGACTCCTAGCAGCCCCGTGCCTTCCGTGGATAGCCATCTTTCTGGTTCCCAAAGAGCAGAGCAGTCTGAGTGGCTGGTTTCTGGTTACCACAGTGCATTTTGTTTCTGATGGATTTTGGTCTAGTGCATTGGTCTGGAGCTGTGCTTGGCCGTGTGTGTGCTCTGACTTGCCTCTTCTACCCCCAGTTTTCAGAAGAGCAGCGCTTCAACAGCTTCCTGGAAGCCCTTCGAGAGAAAGTGGAAATTAAGCAATTAAATCATTTCTGGGAAATTGTTGTTCAGGGTAAGATGGTCTTGTTTTCTTCATTTATTGATGCTACTTAAAAATATACATAAAACTTTCCTTTTTACTTTTTCATTTCTAAGTGTGTAGTGTACATGTGTGTGTGTGTGTGTATTCATGTTTGTGTGCATGGGGCATATGTTGCTTGTGTATGTCTGTGTCTGTGTATTTGTGCTGAGCACATGTGCACACAAGCACAGGGAAGCCCCCGGTTGATGTTGAGAAGCTTCTCCATTGTTCTTCACTTTACTTTTTAGATGGAGTTACTCTGATTACCAAGGATGAAGGCTCTGGAAGCTCTGTCACAACTGAGGAAGCCACAAAGGTATGGAGAGCTAATTCCCTCCCTGTCTTTAGATGAGTTACACCATGAGGAAGCTACTAACACAGTGGACCTATTCCTTGCCAGCCCAGCCCAGCCCAGCCCAGCCCACTAGCTCAGCTGCAGCATTCTTATGTTTCTAGAATCCACCTGTAGTCCCACTTTCAGGAGCTGCACAACTGTTGAACCCTCTTGCTTAGCCTAGATTCTGAGTAAGGCTATGAAATACCACTCTTACACCCCTCTCTTCCCCACCGTAAATATTTTAAAATTACATTTAAATTTATTTGTCTGTGTCCGTGTCCATGTGTGTGTGTGTGTGTGTGTCTGTGTGTCTGTGTGTCTGTGTGTGT